CAAGTAAAATAAATGCACAAATATTTATAAGTGTTTCTTGGCTTACGGAAGAAACAACTTATAATAGAAAACAAGAAAATCAAATACAGAAAATATGTGAAAATATTGCTAAGCGTTTCTTGACTTACGGAAGAAACAACTTAGCATGAAATGGAAAATGAAATAGACAAATATATAAGTATTTTCTTAACTTACGGAAGAAAATATCTTAGATAAAATATCACAAATAATAATACGATATGAAAATATTTCTAAGTGTTCTTTGACTTACCGAAAAGAACTACTTAGATACAAAGCACAAAATCAAATATATAAAATAGGAAAAAAGGCAAGATAAATATTTCTAAGTGTTCTTAACTTACGGAAGAACAGCTTAGATAAAAATACAAGAAAATAAACAATCAAAAAAATCAAATAAAATAGCAACCAATCAGTACATGAACAAATATGTATTATTCTAACCTGACAAGATCTGAATATACAATAATGCTGAAATAAAAGAAATGGTATGCAGGAAATCAGAAATAAAACAATAGCTTAGTCGGAACCCTAATAGCACCGACTAGGTCTACAGTAGAAGAGGCAAGCTCGACTGACCGATGAGAGAAATTCCATCTGCTTTTATATAAAACAAATCCTTTGTTTTACGTAGCAAAAGTGGAATTTCCCTGCATCGAGTCAATTAGAAATTCGGATTTGCCCAAACTTGGAATTTCCAAGTATTTCTCCGAATTTCTAAATGCGTCTGGCACGGCTGTCAGCTTCTGCCTGACACGCCTCCGGAGGCAGAAGTAACTAGAAGGATAGGAAGTGAGGCGGAAATAATATTAACTATTAAAAGACGAAAACTTGAGTACTTGGGACATGTGATGAGAGGGCAAAAATACGCATTATTACAACTTATTGTGCACGACAAAATCCGAGGAAAGCGAAATGTGGGAAGACGAAGAATATCCTGGCCTAAGAACTTAAGGGAATGGTTTGAATGCAGTAGTGCAGAATTTTTTAGAGCGGCAGTCAACAGAGTCCGCATAGCCATGATGATTTCCAACCTTCGATAGAAGATGGAACTTAAAGAAGAAGAAGTGATAACATACTTAAATACAACTTTCCTGATCCTTGGATTGGTCGTGGGTGGTAGTCATATTCCTTGGTCATGTGATGAGATATTGATATAATTATTTAATTCATATAATATCACAAGTCCCAGTCTAGTCTAGCCTAGTATTTGGCCGTTATAGTAACAATTATAGTAGAATTAGAGACAAAGTTAATAGAATTACTCCGGAAGTTATTCGTAATATTCAGGAAGAATCTGTTCGTCGATTGGCTTATTGTCAAGATACTGATGGATGGCATTTTGAACATTTAATTTAGCTGTAAAGTAATGTAATGTAATAATTAATTTAATTTTGCAGTTCATTTATTGTAAAATTATTCTTTAATTAAATTAAATTACTTTTTATTTTCCCTGTATAAGCATTAGACAGTTAAATATAATACTACTAAATACATTATTAGAAGACCTTTCAAATGATACATTACAAAAACCTACATTTCAATTAAAAAAATCTACTCTCTCCTTTACGGAGTAGAAGGGTGGACGTTAAAAGCAGTAATCGTAAAAGAGTTACTGGCATTAGAAATGTTGCTTTACCGACGCATATTAATACATTATCTTGGACAGACAGAGTGACCAATAAAGAGGCGTTAAGACGAATATGTAAAGAGATGAGAAGAATGAATAAAGAAAAGGAAGTCATATTTACGATCAAAAAACGAAAACTGCAATACTTGGGACACATTACAAGAGGCGAAAGATATGAACTGCTTCGAATAATTATGCAAGGGAAAATAGCAGGAAAAAGGTCCATAGGAAGAAGACGAAACTCCTGGCTAAAGAATCTACGGGAATAGTATAACGAATTGTTCCGGTCAACAGTTTCGAAAATACGTATAGCCCTGATGATCGCCAACTTTCGGAACGAAGATGGCACTTGAAGAAGAAGAAGAAGTAAGGAGATAAAAGATAAAATTGTTAACAACTGTTAAAAGAAGGAAAGCGTCCTATCTGGGCCATGTGTTTCTCCTATTAATATGATTTTCGTGGTAACCATTTTGGATGAGCGCTTGTTTTGAAAAGAGCTTAGCTGATATACTTAAATCATTACAAAGGTATATTGATCAGGAAATATTAATGACTGAATTAAGTTATGAGAGTGGATGATTTGAGTTGGCATATAAGTAGAGCTTGGTGTGGATGGACTTTCGGTAAACAGAGTAATGAAAACCTTGGGATTGATTTTTCTTTATGAAAGCATAGAGGAATAGTAGGGAGTTTCCTTCTCCATCGTGAACTGAATACTAGGATATATATCCTAGCTCATTGGCTAGGAGAGAACAGTATGTCGTTGTTTACTTCACTGCCCATTCTACCACATTTGTTTTTTCACTCTAATAAAACTTCATTGATGTATATTTAGAAGTACATACAATCTACTAAAACATATCCTGGAGCTGACATTCATAGCGATCACAATCCAGTTATAATGGATTTTAGACTAAAAATGTTTCTTTTTTAGTCTAAACAGTGAAAAGGGTAAAAGGGTCAAGAAAAATAGACATTTCACAAGAAACAAATAGAAATGCTAGAAAACTTGGTACAGATTGACGTTGAAATAACATGGACTGCTCTAAAAACGAAAATAATAAAGATACAAAAAGACAATATCGGTTTCATGAAAAACAACAGAAAACAATAATGGATACTGCAAGAGATCATGGACCTCATGTACGTAAGACGAAAACATAAAACAAACCCAATAGAATACAAACGAGTCAATAAAATCTTTAGAAAAAAGTGAGAAGAAAAGCTAAAAAACTGGATGTTAACCAAATATTTAGAAATTTAACAACTTCAGGAAAGATACAACACCTGTAATGTCCATATAAAAGTAAAAGAAACGACAGGGAGACACAGAAAAAGACAAGAAACGATATTAAGAAATAAGAATAACGAGATAATTATAGGTACAGAAGAAAAACTGGAAAGATAAAAAGAAAACATTCAGACATTTTTTGACGATGATAGACCTTGTTCACTGAACTTCACCAAACACGGATGATCGGATAAATGAAAAAGTCCAAAAATAACAAAGAAGAAGGTATTTATGCACTAAAAGCTTAGAAGACCGGAAAACCACTGGTCCAGACAATATCAATGTCGAAATACTTAAATTAATTGCAGACAGCAAAAGTAAAAGCCTCGACCAAATAATAGCAATATTCAATAAGATATATGACACAGGTAAAATACCATCAGACGGCTAAAATCATCATTCGCAACATTACCAAAAAAATTCAATGTCTAACACTGCGATCATTATTCAATATTAAGCATGATGTCTCATGTTAAAACTTCTCTCAGAATCATTTATACACGAATTTACAAGAAGTGTGAATTTCAGATGAGGGACACTTAATTCGGATTTCGAAAGGGACTGGGAACACGAAAAACTCTTTTTGCCTTAAATGTGTTAACACAACGATGCAGAGACATGAATGTAGATGTATATGGATGTTTTATTGGTTATCGAAAAGCATTTGACTGCGTTAATCATCAAAAGATGATCGAAATTCTGAGAACAACTGGAATTAACGAACAAGAATTACTTCAGAACTATATTGGCACCAAACGGCAACAATTGAAATAGAGCACACAACATCTGAAGATATACGAATCCGATATAGAGTGCGACAAGGTTGCGTCTTATCACCGCTATTATTTAATCTGTATTCGGAATCTTTGTCCAGGAAAGCATTAGACGAGGTTTAAGGTGGAATTAAGATAAACTAGCATAGACAACATCAGGTACGCTGATGATACATACCGTCCTTATAGCAAGCAACACTCAAGACCTACAAAATATAATAAATGCGGTAGTTCGTCAAAGCGAAGTGTTCGGTTTACATCTAAATCTTTCAAAAACTAAAATTCTAGTATTTTCAAAGATACCAAAAAACGTACATTTGTACGCCAGGGAACAAATAATAGAACAGGTAACTTCCATAAATATTTGGGAGCAAATATCAACAGCCAGTGTAATCCAAAAAAATAAATCCTATCAAGAATCGAACAAGCGAGAAAACCACTCATAAACATGTAAACATTTTTTACAAGATCAGACCTTAGTCTAGAGCTCAGAATTCAAATGATCAGATGTTACGTTTTCTCTGTTTTGCTGTATAGTTGTGAAAGTTGTACAATGGACTCCGAAACAGAAAAAATAATAGATGCCTTTGAAATGTATATATTATACAGATGCTGAGAATTCCATGTCCATCCTTGTATCAATCCTTTTGAGATCTGAAATTTCTGAGAGAGGAATGTACCGATTTTAACAGAGCTTTTTTTCTTATTGTATAAATATCTTACAGTTTTTATATGATGTGACTAATATTTTCGTTTTTTTTTTCATTTCGTTCAAGTATTCTTAATCTGAACGAGAATCATATCTTAATCTTAAATATGCTCCTCGTTTTTATTTGAATTTTCATGGAGTATGGTTTTTATTATGTTTATCTTGTAATTTTACTGCTGCATTTCCTAGTCCGAATTTAGCTACAATATCAAAAGTGTTTTCTATATTAGTTAAGAATTTGTCTATACTACTAATTTTTTATTTTTACAGCACCATTTCTGGATAATTTTTTGAACTTCTAAATAATGTATTTAATTTTGCAATATGAGGTGCTACGATAATGGAGCTCACACCAACTCTTATTAAAACATTAAAAATCAACTAAAATTTTATCTACAACGGCTACCATAATTATGTATATTTGTATCAAAACAAAGCAATACCAAAGGTGGGCCCCACGCTTGATATAATCTAATTTTTATTCATTTTACAAACGTAAATTCGATGGCGAGTCTGAGATTAGATTAGATACGATATCTTTCCTAGAAAAACCAATATTGTTGTAAACCTTTGTCTGTGTGTGAATGTACGTTTAGTCTAAAACTATGGCTACGCAAAGAGACGCGGGCGCGTTTAAACCTGCCATTCAAAGGCTTCCAACAACACCCCCACCCGAAACTCCACCGGCGACAAGTAGGTCCATTCAGGGTAAGGAAAAATATTTTAAGTATAAAATCCTCGTTATTTATAATTCTGAAATCTAGAACTAAATTATTCCAAAAGGATCCAATGCTTTTGTTAGCAGAAATATTTTGATATGTGTAAGGTATCTATTCGTAGTTGATTTTGTTACAAAATTATTAGATAAAACCGTAAATTTTTGAATGTTTTAAAATAAATAAAGCAATAAAAAGAACTAAACCTACCAATTTTCCGTAGCATGAAAGTGAATCGCAATGCAACTTTATGCATTAGATTTAGAAAACTGTGTGCATACGGAAAATGCATTTCTAAATTACGAAGATAATGAAAAATTTGAAAAATTTGCAACTCAGAAAATATCAACAAAAATTAGTTCAATTTTGTTACTATAGGTTTACGAATCGCTGAATACGAATATGATAACGACGATGGTCTTCGAGCTACCTGCTGCTTGTTTAAAATTATTTCAATATATTTTATTTTATGTATAATTCCTAGCAATAAAATTTAACTGTCTAGCAATAAAATTTAACTGTTGTCTTTAACGGCAACCCTGTCAGCCCTCGGCAAAGTCGTTATAAAGTTATAAGAACAGTATGTTTCCATATGTTGCCATAAGGGCACTCAATAAAGAACGTGTGAAGAGATTTGGTTTTACAAGTTATTTCTTCACCCTACCGATCAACTATTTACCACCACGATTAACCAGCGACCAGTCAATTTAAATCAACAATTCAAACACTGCTCAGGATGGACCTCGCCTTGTTCTTCTTCTTCTACGGCACTACAGCCTAAATTGAGCATTGGCCTCCTTTTAGTTTGTGTCTCTACCCTTGCTTGTCTGTGGCTTTTCCAAAGATGGACTCCTTAAAGTGCTTGTGCGTCGCTGTTTACTGTGTCTTCCCAGCGCTTTCTTGGTTTTTCAACCGGTCTTTTTCCCTGCATTCAAGCATTCAGTGCTCTTTTTGGTAGCCTCTCCTCTCCCATTCTTATTTTGCCCGGCTTAGCAGTCTTTGTATTCTAATGAAGTCTGACAGTGGTGTTTCCTTATAAAGTTGATAAAGCTCGTTGTTGTGTCGACTTCTGAAGATTCCGTTTTCCCTCACAGGTCCTAGCATTCTCGTCAGTACTTTCCTTTCGAATGTATCGAGTTTGCTTTTGGATGTTTCTTTCAGGACGCACGCTTCACTGCCCTAGCATGCTATTGGTCGAATTAAGGTTTTATAGATTCTCATCTTTGTATTTCGGTGGAAATTTTTAGACCGAAATATATGAGAGAGGGCAAAATTAACTCTTTGTGTCCACGTTATTCTCTTCCGTATTTTCCATGCTTTGATCCGTCGGCGGCATATATTTCTACTCCCAGGTATGTGAACTTTCCAACCGTTTCAATGTTATTTTCAAGTATGTTTTGTGGAACTATATTTCTTCTCGTATGTATCATTATTTTGGTTTTTTTTGTATTTGAACCGTTCGGTTGATCAGTAGGTTTCCTCGTTCAGTTTGCATTTGCCTAACCGCATACTCCAGTGCTAGGTTAAACAAAGCTGGAGCCAGCCCATCTCCCTGCTTCAATTCCTGCGAAATTTTGAAAAAGTCTGTCCCATGGTTTTGTATTCGTACTCATGCTTGAGTGTCATCCATTATGGCTTAGTGAGTCTAATTAGCTTGTGTGGTATTGCCAATTCAGCCAATATATTGTAGAGTTTGTTTCTTTTGACTGAGTCGTATGCCTGATTAAAATCTACCAACACGTTGTGAACATCAATGTCATGTTCCCATGATTTACTCAAGATCTGTTTGACTGTAAATATTTGATCCAGTGTTGATCCAGTTTTTGCACTAGAGTTTGTCTCCTTTTTTATAGATAGGACATGCTATACTTTTCTTCCAGTCGTCGGGTATAGTGACTTGCTAGGTGGTCGCCGTCTACATTATACAATTCTGATGGTATTTCGTCAACTCTCGGGGATTTACTACCTATCAACTACCACGTCTTCTGGACAATGTTAATTTCATTACAAATCAGTCGACAGTCATTACTTGGTGGGTTTAAGACGTCACTGAACACGAATATGATATGACACAAATAAATGCATGCATGCATCACATTATCTAGCTACGGAAAAGTTCGAAACCGAAGTGTAAGATCAAGTAAATAGAGCAAACAGAGCCGCAGGCTGCCTAAATGAACCAATATGGAGAAATAAAAATATCGGAAAAGAAACGAAAGGCAGAATTTACAAAACCGTCATCAGACCAATAATGACATACGCGGCAGAAACAAGACCTGATACAGAGAGGACAAAAAGGATGTTAGAAACAGCAAAGATAAAAACACTTAGAAAAATTGATGGTAAGACACTATGCGACAGAGCTAGAAGTACAGATATACGACATAGTTGCAATGTGGAGAACATCAAGAACTGGGTAAGAAATATAAGAGTAGAAAGGAACGATCATATAAGTCGAATGACAACAAATAGAGTAATAAAGACGGTAATAGACGGTTCCCCAATAGGAAGACGATGAGTAGGCCGTTGCTCGTTCTTCCACTTTTCCACTCCTTTTTTCTTATATTGGACTTAATCCATGATACCGATTGCATTGTCTTTGTGTGAAGGCAGGATTGTTATAGATTCATCTTCCGTTAAGGCTTTATAGACCAGGAAACTAATGATTTTACCATTACACTATCAAACATCATTATATCGCTATTTTATTTTAAATACTAACGGTGAAAACAGGTAAATTAGCTGGAAAAGTAATACAATTGCAATAAAAAAATTGTAAAAATATTAAGTGTAATTCAGGAGAAATTAACACATATAGATCTGATTTTCAAATGAAACTTTATTCTTTGTAAAATTTATTGTTAACCCTTTCAGCCCTGAATTTTTATTTTTCAAAGGTAAAATTTTTCTGTTGATATTTTCGTTAATTGGACACCTAAATAACACTAAAAATATTTTTTATAAAATTTTTAACTCCCCACTTTTCATTTACCATATTTCATTTAACATAAGAGGGTATTAAGGCATAAATATACAACAACAACAACAAAAAATGATATAATATTTTACTATAGAAAAAGCATGTATAAAAATATATATTATGTTTTATTGACGTCTTGAATGATAACTTTTGAAACAATTTCTGTCTTTCCTTTGGCTTAATAGTCTTGTACACTTGATTTTACTATCGTAGAGTATATGGGTTTAAATTATTTTTTTTGTGAGAAAAGGCAGCAAATATTTGATTTCACGCAAACAAATCCTATGTATCTCTTGATACGTATTTCGACCTAATAGGTCTCGTCAGAAGAGCTATTCATAGGGCTTCTCAATGTGAAAAATCAATATTTTCTGCCTTTTAAGAAGCAACAATAACATGGCTTCAATACGGACGCAGTAGCGACATCTAATTAAACAATCGTAAAATAGTTTCGAAACACAATTCAGATTTCTGCTTTATAATCTGAGCCTTCTAAGAATTGCAAGGCAAACAGACGTTGATAAAAGATGTTAAAAGAGACATGGGGAATCTAAAATTTGCATTCCAAAAGACATGTCGTGGGACCTATTAGGTCGAAATACGTATCAAGAGATACATAGGATTTGTTTGCGTGAAATCAAATATTTGCTGCCTTTTCTCATTTTATTCGGATATGCTCTGTGGGAGTACGAGAAACACAATTCGCTAAGGATTTCTGCTTAGTTGTAAAAGACATGTCGTGGAATGCAAATTTTAGATTCCCCATGTCTCTTTTAACATCTTTTATCAACGTCTGTTTGCCTTGCAATTCTTAGAAGGCTCAGATTATAAAGCAGAAATCTGAATTGTGTTTCGAAACTATTTTACGATTATTTTTTTTGTTTTTAAGTTTAAGACCCCTTAATATTGTACCCTTATTTACACTCGTAGGGTATTTAGGTTTAAATAACTTCTCATTGGTTTAATACATCGCTTAAAATAATTATTGAGAAAATGGTTCCCTTACTTGAGGCCATTAATCATATCAAATCCTATATCAAAATCACTCTCAAGACCAATGATCCCCCCCCACACAAAAATTTCTAGGAAACAGCTTCTGAAAGGTTCAAAAAACTAAATCCTATATTAAAATCACCCTCAAGACCCATGACCCACCCCGACAAGAATTTCTGGATACGCCACTGATTTCTACAGACATAGGTAATGTAGTTGCGCCTTGATAAACTACCGATCGGTATATTTTTCCTGATTCACCACAAGAATTAAAGACTTTTATGCCCCAAGGATTTTGGTTTGCCTCTAATATACTGCTTTAGAGAAAATTGCCCTTTGAATGGTATAATTGTTCCATCTATGTTCCAATTCTCAAATTTTATCATTGGTATTCTTGTCGGTGTTGACATCTGAGATATAGTGAAGGCGTTTTACCTTGTCGTATTTCGGATTAAAGCCCGAAAAATAATTTATGACTCTAGTTACAGCCACTCTGTTATGTTTCCCTTTTCTACCTGTTTTGTGGTACCGAACCTCCTACTGGTCGGCTGTAGTACTTGAGGATAAATAAAGAGAACCGCTGACTACCTGAGGCAAATCTGAACAGACACTTTTATTACTTATGCGACAGGCTAAAACGATCCTACTTTATTTAGATGATTATGTAAACTTTCAAATCGGTTTCGGGATATACTGAGATCTTTAATCAAACGGAATTGTGTACAAGGAGTCCAATAAAGTCATAGCCTCGGAAAATTAATAATTCTCACTACAATGTTCAGGGCAACCAGGCGGCGTATCTTATTTTCGTCAGTACTGAGACTTTCACCATTCTTGTAAACAAAATGAGAGTTTGTTTTTTCAAATGGTGAATGGTCTTCTGAACTGTCACTTTCATCATAAGTAAAATTACTTTCACTTGATCGATCGAAAATACCATTTGGATGTACAACATTTCCAGTCTTCCAGATAGTTTTTTGTTTTTTCCTCTTTTTTAGTCTTTTGACGAATTTCTCCTTTTTCTAATGCTACTTCAGCCTCATCTGATGTTGACATATTAGTCTCTTCATAATCTTTATCTCCATCATCTTCTTTATCAGAACAGTCATCATTCAGGGCAGCTGATGCTTCTTCTGCTTGAAAAAGGGTCACATCAACTTCAGTTTTGCCTTTCCCGTAAAATACAATTGTAGGAACCTCATCTGAAAAGAATTCGTTGTTTAAAATCTTGTCATAAATTCTAATCTATTTAATCCACTTTTGTAACCGTTAACACCTCCTGGTGGCATTTGCGTACGCATTGATAGGACCATACCAAATATTAGCAAATGCTGAAACAATTACAATTTATTCTTAAATAAACTATTCCCAATGTTAGTTAGTAAATACCAACAGCTACATGAAGATTTACAACACAATAGCACTATTAAAACAAAAAAACAAATAGGTACTTACCAAGTGAAAAAGGATTACATTCACCGGCCATTACTTTAAGTATACCAACAAAACCTGTTTACATTCCAAATGACTCAAATACATAAATCATCTTATATAGAGACTGTAGCCGCCCTCTATTAGAATTATGTTGAAATAAAATAAGTCATATCACAGATATCTGTGCCGAATTATTCGCTCTGTGCGTGACCATGGAAGGGGTACATTGAAACGTAGCCAGCGTGCGTAGCGGCCGTAGCGGCGAAATATGACAAAATTGGAATATTGGACAAAATATTTTTACGTATAAATTTTATCAAAAATGTTTGCAAATACATGTTGCGTATTTAATTGTGTTAATAACAGCAAAAACAGTGAGTGTAGTTTTTATAGGTTCCCAAAGATTACATATAAATTAGAGAAAAGAAAAAGATGAATTCGTGCTATTATTATGAAAAAGTAAATATCACATAATTTCATTTTTATGCAATTGAAATACGAAAAATTTAAATAATTTACCTTGAATGATATTTGATAAGGCTTCAAGCTAACTGCAGATGACTTTAGCTTTTATATCATAACTTTTACCATTATTGTTTTTAAATATATATGCTTTTTTGCGTGAAAAACTTGATTTGCCAGTACTAGATTTTTCCCTTTCTTTTCCGTTTGGAGTTGAAAAGATATATTATGATGAATTTTGAGAAACTACGTTTTTAATACTACGTTTATTTTGAACATAAACTGAAAAAATATAGTTAAAAAACTAGTTTATTAATAATTGTCAATTTCGCTTGTATTTAATAATGTCAAACATATGTCATATGTTTAACCTGAAAATTGGTACTCCAAAATTGTCAGATGAAGGCGGTAGGTGTCGCGTCAGTCACGCACGGGGCGAATAGGCTTCGTAATTGCCACCGTCAGGGCGGAAAGGGTTAAAGAATTTATTTTTAACTATAATACATAAATATTTAAGTTACCTATCATTTCATAACCTTTTCTACTAGTATTAATAAGATAAACGTAAAATTTTACAAAATAAATATTTACTCGGTTAAATAAACAATTCCCAAAATTACTAATTGAATTTTTATAATCTTTGCAACTGGTTAGGTACCCCAAATAATAATAAAAAACAATTTTCGTTGATTATAACCGGAGATATCGCGACTTTTATAAATTTGAATTTATTACTTCAGTTTTTAAAATGATAAAACCGAAAAATAAGAAAGGGCTAACTCAGGTTCTAAGAGTCGTTGGACATTGTATTTTTTAAATTCGTTTAATGATAAAAATATTTCGAATAAAAAAAGCCTTTCTCTTCAATTTGCTGCTTTCAAAATGCATGTAGAGCTAACAGTTTACGCATAATAACGTTATAGATAAAGCTTTCTGAGATAAACAATTTCAATTTTAAAATATCTGTTAAGTGACGTGACACATATTTAAAAAGCCCAAAATCAGTTGTAGTTAAAGTAATAATTCAATTGTGAGAAAGTCTTTTTATTTTTCTTTTTATCCTTTGGAAACGGACTGACATTTGCAACCAAATTCAACATTATTTACTTCCATATCTATATTGTTCTACTTTCATATCTGTTTTTATTAGTTTTTCTATTAGATGTTTTCTATAGTTGTAGACGATTTACCCGTAAAGAAATTTGTCGAGCGCAAACATTTACGCACAGATCAATTTGAGTATGAGCGGACAGGAGATGATCCTGGGTACATATTAATATTTAATCAGGAGACATTCGCGGAATTAAAAACAAGAAGAGGAACTAAAAGAGATGTTAACGAGCTAGTCATATGCTTACAGAGATTAGGATTTAATATTGAAAAGGAAAATATATTGACAGATCAGACAACTGAAGAAATTAAACAAGTTTTAACGAAAGGTATGTAATTTAATAATATATAGAGACAAACTAATTATCTTACCAATATTAACTTTTTTTAGTTTCCAATATGGATTTCACCCATTATAACTGCCTAATACTGTTTTTCCTATCGCATGGCGAAGAACTAAACTTTTTATTTACCAAGGATGGCCAAATATTAACAAAAGATATCTGGTTGGCATTTAAAGATAGTAAAGGTCTCAACAATAAGCCAAAAATGTTTGTATTTCAGGTAAAATATGATTATTTTTTTCTCTAACTATCTACATTGCACGTAATAAATGGCAACATTTTCGTTTATTGTCCAGTTAAATTCTTAAAAAGTGTGACTATTACCTCAGCCTCATTAGCAAATCGTATAAACTGGTCAGTATATACCGATACATTGGAATCCGATCATTTTCCTATTAAAATAGAGCTTAAAATTAATATCCTTCTTCATTCCTAATTAATTCATGACTGGAAGCTATTTCAGACAGATTTAGAAAAACAATTATCCATATTTTTATCATCTAATAATCTTTCTAACGATGAGAAGACAGCCCTACTCTTTCAGACTATCTCTCTAGCTGCTTCCAAATCTATGCCCATAAAAAACCTTTTACACCTTCAATGCCAAGGCTTTATTGGTGGGATGAGGAATGTACACTCATAATAAAAAAACGATAAGAAGTCTTGAAAGCGTTTCGAACCCAAAGTAATCATAATAATTATACATAAATTACAAAAATATAGCAGAGCAAACCAAACGATTATTTAAAACAAAGAAAAAAAGTAGTTGGATAAATTTTTTAAATAGTCTAAACAAAAGCACACCTCTCTCAAAAATATGGTCAACCGTCAGATCAATTTCCAATAATTATCAGTACAACAAAAAACCTCAACTTTCTGAAAATCTCATTAAACAGATGTTAGACCAACTTGCACCTTCATCTGCCTCTGGTAATGTTGGTAGGATTAAAGAAATTTTTCGCTTTAATACTAGTATAGATTCCATGGCAAAACCTTTTACTCTTTCAGAACTAGATTTCGCACTAAAAAAAGCAGAAACACAGCCCCCGGTTTGGACGGTTTTACTTATAAGATATTGGACAAATTGCCGTCAAATGCCAAAGATGTTCTCTTACAAATCTTGAATAGTTGGTGGTTGAAACAAGAATATAGCGATACCAAAGAACTAACGAAAGTTCTCTGGCGATACTTTAAAAAATATTATCATATGCCCTTTACTCAAATTTAACTTAAACCCAGAACTTCCTTCATCTTATAGACCCATTTCCATATATTTAAGACCCAAACGGGCTAAGTTAAACAGAAAAAACGTTTTCGGAATCCATATTCCATCATCAGTGTCCTACAAAATATGTAACCACATAATTAAAAAGAACATAGGTTTAAATTTTTGACTAAAGTTAATACTTACTAGGAGTACATGAATGCAGCCACTAAATATATGGGTACAAATCCGTTAACAAATCATTAATTACATTTAGTTTACAAAATTTCTTATAATGATTTAAGATGATAAAGTTACCGTTGGATTAGGTAACATGGTGACATATGACTCCACGTTGAAGTTGCTAGTCCTGAGACGGTGTGTCTACGAAGACTGTATGGGAGCAACTGAATGACAATGACATTTAATGACAATGTTGTTAAGTTATGACGGAAGTTATAACAGAGCAGTCAATATAACTGTATGTTTCTACTTAAGACAAAAGCCAACGTTATTTAAAATTGTGAAAATAAAATAAATTAATATAACAGTATCAACCATCAATGTTGTTGTTTTAAATTTATGTATATAAGATGAGATGTGGAAAGAAAAAATATGTGGTTGTAGGTAGGCAACCAACTATACATGTGTGCAGTAATGTAGTGAAAAAGGTTTTAGTATAAGGCCCTTTATGTTTCTCAAACATTTGGTACCCAGAAAATAGAAACTAGACACATGTGGGAGGTTGAGTTCTAGAAATTTTATTGTTAATGGTTAGATATGAATGTATTTATTTAAAAATGAAAGTGTTCTTGAATGAATAAAATAAAACTTTTTTAGTATAATGTTCACATGATATTTAACTTATTTGGGCCTCTATAATTGAGTTATGAGTTATAAGATCCAAGTCCTCGTCCTCCTAAATACCGCGGTAATGTCGTTCTTTCTACTGCATTTCGAGGATGATGTTTTTGTGCCTTTGTCAGGTGTGTTCGTACTTTTCGCTGAAGAGTTTCTATATCCGTTTTAGTCCACTTAATAATCCCAAATGAGTAGCTAAGCGCGGAAAATGCGTAGGTGTTTAATGCCTTAAACAAGTTTTTACTATCAAGATGTGAGCAGAGTAGCTGTTTTACCCTTCGTATGAACTCTGATGTTAATGCGATTTTTATTTGTTTTTGGTCAATTTTCCGCATTTGCTTTACTCCTAGATATTTATATATGTCATTTTCGCCCATAGCCTCGATGTTTTGTCCATTTTGCATGTCGAATCCTTCGGGCTGAACCTTTCACTTGATTATATTTAGTATACGACATTTATCTACCAAAGTGCATACTGATATCATTTGAAAAAGTTTCTACAGTTTTTAGCATTTAATCTAAGTGGTTTCGTGTGGAAGCCATTAGTTTCAAATCATCCATATACAACAGATGATTAAGCTTCGCCACTACAGTATTGCTGTTTTTAATACTAAAACCTGAGTCAGTGAAGTTCAATTGCTGGGATAGTGGGTTCATTGCGTGTGTTCAGAACCACAATGGACTCAGCGAGTCTCCTTGGAATAGGCCGCGGTTAATTGCGAATTTTCCGTTTCTATACTGTTTTCGCCAGGTATTTGGAGGTGCATTTTAGTCTTCCAATCTGTCATTATATGTCTTAAAAAGGTATTATATTATATTATCATCGACTATATATATATATATATATATATATATATATATATTATATATATATATATATATATATATTCTTAATATATCTACCAGCCATTCATGCGGCACTGTGTCAAAAGCTTTCTTATAGTCAATAAAGGCAGTGAAGAGGTTCCTTTTTTGGTGTATGCCTGGTTAGAAATGACTGAGTCGATAATAAGTTGTTCTTTGCAACCCAAGCAACCCTTAGCGCATCCTTTCTGTTGATGTTCTATGATGTTGTTTAAAGCGCAGTGTTGGTAGATACGCTGGGCTACACAGGATGTGATCAATTTATACAGAGTTGGAAGACAAGTAATTGGGCGGTAATTGGCTGGATCTTGGGTAATATTTTGATCCTTCGGTATTAAATAAGTTGTTCCATGAGTTAGGATTGATGGTATTTCCTGCGGGTTAAAAAGAACACGATTAATTAGTGTTGACAAGTACTCATGAGCACTCCAGAACTTCTTAAGGCTGTTTTAGCAGTCAAAACACACTGCGATTTGAAATGGGCGTATCACTTACTTTTCCTCACTGCTTACGCCAGCCGACGACGGGTACAGCTGTTTTCGCAGTGGCACCGGCCGGCGGTTGGTTTAATGACAACAAATGCATTATTCTCCATTCAAATTACTTTTGTCGGGAATACCTTTTTTGTTTGATTATCGTAGATGTTTTAAAAAGAATTATCACATTTTTAATTTATATGTCTTAGCTAAGTATAGTATTGAATATAAATTTGTGAAACGTGACTGCAAAAAACATAATGGTGTTTATTTATAATAAATTTAAAATAACATAAAAATATTATTATCAAAAATAAAATACAATTTGTTGTCACAAACAAATAAACAATTTCGCAGTTAGAGCTTGAAATTGATTTCAAATCAAACATCTGACCGTATGTTCATGAGATTTGACGTCACGCAGCAGATAACGGTGAAACTAAATGCCAATGATGAGTAACACGTTTCACTATTAGATTTCAGTATTTTTTAGCAATTTTCTTCAAAGTTTGAACACGCTTTTCTCGATTATTACTGGACATAAAAAGGTGAAAAAAAAAACAACGATTACGGAAAAAAATACTCTTTCAAGTGATGGCGTAAAAAGTTTGGTTATAATAGATCGTTAAACTGTATAATCCGATATTTCAAAAGAACTTTCAAAAAAATTTAAAAAGTAAAACCATCAGTTTAAAGGCAACAAAATTTTGAATAACGTGTCCAAATTTCGTGATATTTTGTCGGTAAATAACAGAGAAAACACTGTATCTAGGTTTTGGTGTACCGATAAAACAGCCTTAAGCCAGAAGTTTTGAACTCCGTCTGGTCCAGGAGATTTCCAGTTATGAAGCTCTTTGATGATATTAGAGACTTCTTCTGTGGTGAAGGGTTCATAGACAGTTGTACGGTAGTGTTGACAGCTGTGCGTCGTATCTTCTATCCATCCAGCATTGGTGTTAAAAGCAGCTGGTGTGGAAAGTTGATTTCCCTTATACTCCTGAATTTCTTCTTGGCTTGGGTATGATTTATTGGCACTTTTGACAGTGGAATTGAGTTTTCTATAGACCGCCTTCTCGGCATGCTCAAAAAGCGCATTGTCACATTTCCGGCTGTTACTGATTTTATACCTCGTTAGTCGTCCTAAATAAACGAAGAGTTTTTGTTTTAATGTATCCAGGAATTGTTGGGCTGTGTTGTTTTCTGGATCATACTGCGAGTGTCTTAGCATTATTTGATCAGCTCTTTTAATGACTTTTCTACTAGTTGTTCCTCGTATATATTCTGTCATTTGACCAATGTCCCTACGCAATAACTCATATCTTATTTAGAAGCCGTTGCTCCCAGGGTGCAACTCTGTTATCTGTCCTTCCGGCATTGGTGCCCCCGTCGTGTTCTAATCTTATTCCCATTACATTAGCTATTGCTGTTGCTGCACAGTAAATGAGTATGTGCAAATATTCCAGCGTATGGGCTTCTACGACGTAATTGGGTAGGACTTCAGTATTCATAATTTGTAACAGAGCACCTAGTTTTTTAGAAGAGTTTATTTTTGGTAACGGTGGTCTGCTAAGTGGATTTGTTACATTAAACTCTTGTACAGCACATGCCATTTCGCTTACCAGTTTCGAGTAGACAACCGTGGGCAGAAATAAAGAACCACTATGTAAGGGAGGCTGCCCCATAATTGGTAGAATACGCTGAGAATGATGTTGATAACGATAATATATTTATATTTATCAATTTCTGTTGAGGTAAGTGTTTATTATTAAATTAAATTATTTGTAGGCTTGTAAGGGCGAAAACTTTACCACAGTTGGAAATGAGCCACCGAAATCATCGGTTTTAACACCCTCTTCAACATTCTCACCGGATATTCTATATAATGATCTCTTAATCGTTCATTCATCTACAGAAGGTAAGTTGTCCGGATTTTATTAATAAAACTTGTAATGTATCAAAATTCTTCTTAAAAAATATAAAATTTTAGCAATGTGAAATTTACTTTTTTTAATCAAATGTCATCAGTTCTGTCTTTTTTTACTTTTTTCCGTGAATAATTATTTTTTTTTTCGTGTATAATTCTTCGTGGCAGATAATCGAGGTTCCACTGTATATCTATCCTATCCTTTAAAACATTCTAAATAAAATAAAACGCAGTTCAATAAAAAATTTTAAAAAATTTAGCACACTGTATATTTTTCCACACAGTGGCGGACTTAGGGAGAGCGCCCACCAAAGTGGCGTGGTACGTGGCACGTAGCAAGCGTCTAGCATGTTACATAAAATATAACCAATGCAAACGAATTATTAGATCAAATGACGTCACTGTCATTTTTGTGTGTGCTGAATGATTCGTTTTCATTGGTTACATTTTAAGTAACATGCTAGACGCGTGCTACTTGCTACGTGTCACGTGACTTTGGTGGGCGCTCTCACTAAGGCTGAATCCAGACCTAGGCAACATTGTAATTCCGGGCTTATTTTTCAGTTATGACACATATTTTGCTTTTGGTAGTTTGGTTCCAAAGCATACAGTATGTAGTTCTATTTAATTATCAGATTCCAAGCATAAAATGGAATCTTCTTCATCTTCTTGTTTTTATATAGACATGATTTTGTCTGTTTTTCAAGGTGCCTCCAGTAAGTTGTCGTTTCATCGTTTTCGTGGTATTCCTACTAAGGTCTTCCTATTAGGGAACCGTCTTCTGTCGTAATAAATTATTCCAATCACTTTTTCTTAGGAGCAGCAGCTTTTCTAGCCGTAGATGCGTTTGATTTTTGCGTAAGACGACAGTTACAATATGCACAAAAAAATAAAATCGATGACAAACAAGAGGAAATTCAATAAGTCATCCAACAGCATAAAAGATAGCGATGGAAATCTTATCTCGGAGCCATCAACGATCTTAAAAATATGGAAATCATACATAGAAAAATTATTTGCATCTGACAGGACTGATGATCAGCTATATGGAGAAGGAGAAACAGGACCTTCAATCCTTAAATCGGAGATAGAAGATGCTATTGCAGCACTAAAAAACAATAAGTCAGCAGGTCCGGACAATGTACCCTGCGAAATATTAAGGCTGTTTTAATCGGTGCACCAAAATTTTTTCTCTGTTATTTACCGACGAAATGTCTCGAAATTTGAACATGTTATACGAAATTATGTTGCCTTTAAACTGATGGTTTTACTTTTTTTATTTTTTTGAATTTTCTGTTGAAAAATTGGATTATACTGTTTAAACGTTCTATTATAACCAAACTTTTTACGCCCATCAGTTGAAAGAGTTTTTTTTTCTGTAATCGTTGATTTTTTTTTCACCTTTCTGTGTCCAGTAATATCGAGAAAAGCGTATTCAAACTTTGAAGAAAATTGCTAAAAAATACTGAAATCTAATAGTGAAACGTGTTCCTCATCATTGTCGCTTCACTACAGATTTCATATTAGGAAGTCACGTAGGGTCTGACGTAAGCAGTGTAGAAAAGTAAGTGATACGCCCACTTCAAATCGCAATATGCTTTAGCTGCGAAAACAGCCTTAAAGATCCTATGTAAATCAGACAAACAGTTCCTTGATGATCTAGTTGTACTTTTTAACAACATATAATATAATAGCGGTAAAATCCCGGAGAACTGACTACAGTCAACATTTATTACAATCCCGAAGAAACCAAATGCCCAGATTTGTGATGACTACCGGCTCATAAGCTTGATCTATCATGTCACTAAAGCGTTCACTAAGATCATTCATAGAAGAATATATGATAAATGTGAGTCAAATATTGATAGATCGCAGTTTGGTTTTCGGAAAGCACTTGGAACTAGAGAAGCAATTTTCGCTCTCCAAGTGCTTATACAGCGGTGTACAGACGTTGATAAGGACGTGTATTTGTGCTTTGTAGATTTTAGAAAAGCATTTGACAATGTCAATCATGAACAATTGATAGGTATTCTGCGAAAGACAGGTATTGACGAGAAGGACATTCGAATTGTGGCAAACTTATACTGGAATCAAACAGCAAGAGCAAAAATTGGCAACGAACTTACTGAAAGCGTGCAGATCAAAAGAGGTGTCCGTCAGGGGTGTATATTATCCCCACTCCTATTCAATATGTATTCCGAGGAAATATTTAACAAATGTATGGAAAATGCAAATGAGGGCATAAAAATAAACGGTGAGTTAACGAACAATATAAGATATGCCGACGACACGGTGATCCTTGCCAGTACCATAGATGAATTACAACAAGTAATGGAAAGACTTTATTCAGTTAGTGAGGAATACGGCCTGAGCCTCAACTTCAAGAAGACAAAGTGGATGCTGATAAGCAAAAAGCAACAACCTGCTCGACAATTACGGATAAGTAACATACTAATTGATCATGTAGAATCTTATGTGTACCTTGGCACCAACGTAAATGCAAAATGGGAACAGACCATAGAAATTAAGGCGAGAATAGAACGAGCTAGAGCAGCATTTAGCAATATGAAAAAGCTCCTCATAAGCAAGGATTTGTCTCTTCCCCTAAAACTACGTCTACTTAAATGCTACATTTTTCCGATCTTGCTGTATGGCATGGAGGCCTGGACGCTGACGGAGACGCTAACGAGGAAACTAGAAGCATTCGAAATGTGGGTGTACCGACGCATTCTTCGTATATCCTGGACCGAACATGTCACCAACATAGAGGTACTCCAAAGAATCGGAAAGGAGAAGGAGATCGTGAATACAATTAAACAAAGAAAGCTTAAATATCTAGGCCACATATTGAGACACGATAAGTACCGTCTGCTACAATTGATTGTCCAGGGAAAATAGACAGTAAGCGAGGGCCAGGCAGGAGAAGACACTCGTGGCTCCAAAATCTGCGGAAGTGGTTCGGGCTCACATCAGTCGAACTATTCAGAAGCGCCGCAAACAAGATCAAAATTGCCATGTTAATAGCCAACGTTCGCAACGGACAGGGCACTTGAAGAAGAAGATGATTTTGTCTGTTTTTCAAAGTGCCTCCAGTAAGTCTTTATTCCATCGTTTTCGTGGTATTCCTACTGATTGTCTTCCTATTGGAGAACCGTCTTCTGCCGTAAGTAATTATTCCAATCACTTTTTCTTAGGAGCAGCAGCTTTTCTAGCCGTAGATGCGTTTGATTTTTTCGTAAGACTGCCTTTATTTGATTTCTTCGCTTTGATTTGTACTTTGGCATCTGCGGAAGTCGGAACTGGGAATGAAGAAGACTTGGTTTTAGGAGCTGATTTTTTTTTCAACTTTCTTCGTCTTGGCCAACTTTTCTCTGTCTTTGATGGTGCTTCTTTAGCCTTTCGTTTGCTGGTAGCAGAACGTTTGGCGTTAGTGGCAGTTTTTTTCGGTTTAGTTGTTCCTCCAGCTTTCATTTTTCTACTGAACTAGACTTTGTATATCCAGAACATGATGAGATAGACGTTAACTTGAAGATCCTGACGCTCCCTTTCCCTTTGTTTACACCAATGATCCAGTAGCAACTGCAACTTTTAAATATTTTTTGATAAACGGTGCAACTTTTTCCACATCTACTTTGTAATTTGCAACGATATATTTTTTGATAGCTTGAACTGAAGAACTACCTCTTTTTGGATTTTTTGCATTCTTTTCATTTTTGAATAGTGAAGGTGTTTGTGGCATTCCAGATTTCGACGTAGCCGAAGTGACTAATGATTGGTTTTCTTTATTTAGTAATTTCACAAAGTATTACCTACGAATCCAAAACAACCTATTGGCAATTAAGTCTAGGACTTATGTCTTAATTGCACAATTTTCAATCAAAACTGACATAAGATACAATACGTAACGTTCAGGGGACCGATTTAAATAGCTACATTGGACCTTTTAAACTCGATAGACGCGAGACTATCGTATTTACATACATCGACACTTGCTGGTGTGGATGCATAAGCACAATAACACTCGTACACACTTGTAGACTGTATCAAAAAACGATTCGACATTATTAATTATAACAAATAAAAATCTAATTTTCGGTCCCCAAAAACTACTGACCCTAGGCCATAGTCCGCCCCTGTAATTCCACAACAGTATTTATGAAGGCACATTTATACAAATAGTTCTGACTTGCTCTGAAATTATGTGATAATTATTTTAAAATAATTCTTTTTAGGTAACTGTGCATTTAGAAATACATATACTGGCTCATGGTTCATTCAAGAACTGTGCAAAAATTTCATAGCCTACGGGAGGAAAGAGGAGGTCATAAGTTTGATCATTCGAGTCACAAAATGTGTGTCGGGAAATTACTATAGTAACGGAACATATCCAGATACTAATATTGAATACTATAACGCCAAACAAATGCCGTTTTTTATATCCACATTAAGAAAAAAGTTTTATTTGAATAGAAACAAGGAAAGAGATGCAATTTTAAGAATAGCCGAAACTAATGAAGATATACTTAAGATTTTAGTACAGATTAAAAGTCAATTAGATACTATTTTTGCAAACGAACAAGAAAAGAAACCCAAGAAATAACATAAGTTCAATTTAGTTTTTTAAATTTTTTATCTTTATAATTACGTAAGTATACATTATACATATTAAATTATTTTTAACTTAAAATAAAATTATACGTCAGTGTATGTCTATTATTTTATAAATTAGTATATTTTTCTTCATGATATATTTTAATTATATCCCAATAGTTCAGTTAGGTACTATTAAACTGGGAATAAGCAACAATTATAGATAAAAATACGTTTATTGACGTTTCAATTTCCACTTCGGAAATCGTTCTCAAAATACAAACAGTAAATTAAACAAATTTTGTTTTTTGTTACACAGTGAAAAATTCTTCTAATAATTTAATTTTATCTGACTCATTTATATTGACAATTCAGACATACATTATGCATTTTAAAGTAGACGACTTTAAAGAGTAGATTCCCCCACCCTTTATTTGATATAATAAAAAAAGGACCTGAACAACTTTGTGAAGAATTTAGGACACTTTCTGGTTTACTTATTTAACACTTGGTATAATTGGGCATATTTCACAAAAAAAAACGGGTAATTTTTCTTCACAGGTTACGCCCATTAGCGGTTATCCCAGAAACTTGAAAGTTATTTCCAGCAATTTCTCTTAGCCACTTTTACTAAGGAATTTTTTCTACTAGTTATAACATGAATAGTTTCTGATATATAGCCGAGAGATCGGCTTATTGGACCACCCGGTAAATAAGCAAAATCTGTCGCCTTGAAACAATGGTTATGTTGGAATTTTTTACAAGAAATCAAAGCAACACCTTTTTACCCACTGAAGACGAATTCTTTTTCCTGATGGACAATGTAATGATGCAAGTCATGCCGCCAGTTGAAGATCTAAGTCTTTCTCCTCTCGTATGAAAACAAGCATTAGTTTCCTTGATGATCTCAGTAACTTTGCCATTAAATGCTTTGCTTTGTAATTAAATTAACTTGAGTAGCAATGATTCATTTTGTCATGTTTAATTTGATATTTGGTCATTTATAATTTGATATATACATTACATAAATTTTGTTATCAAAACAAGTGTTGTTTCTTTTCACCCCATGACAGTGCTGACTGTTTCTATAAGCCTCACAGGTTCTGCAGTTGAAAAGAAAAACAGTGTCTGTTTCTATAGAAACAGCACGTTTTATTTTTTTTCTACTTAAAAGAAAAAACATTGGTGTAGGCTTGTACAGAACTGCAAGACCAATAAACCAAGGTAGCTTTCAATTAATTCCTTCCATCTCATAATACATTACGATAATTATGTTCAAAGCTGAAAACTGTTTCTGTTCACCCCATTTCACGGCAATTAGATCGTTTTATCACTTAAAAACATGTTTGTCGCAATATGAATGTTTGAGTAATGAAAAGTGACTGTCTACATCACGCATACATAATGCTTCCTTAGTATACGTCGAAGTAGAATATTATATGCTTTTTATAGGTCGACAAAAACCATGTGCTCTTCTTAGCCAACAGCTATCATTTCTTCCGCTAATAGTTCCAATAAGGACAGATAGATAAATGTATTAAAAATCAAAAATAAAACTCAAGAACCTTTCAACCTCTCCTGAAATCTCAGAAACTAAAAACCTAAACGAAAATTTTATAACTCCAAAAAAATCCGCACCAAAAAAGAAGAAAAAGGCTTTAGATGTCGAAGCCACATTAAAACCAATTGAGAACATTTTAATGACAGCATCTCCTTCATATACGCTAAACTTCTCTGAATTATGCGACTTCGTTATAAACGCAATGGGATCAAAATTTCCTGAAGTCACAGCTAAAAACTATACAGAAGATTTTGACGGCTTATACACCTTATTAAAAATGGTTCACTCAAAATTAAATGATAGACGCATGAAAAATAATATCACAATCTTCCCTTACTGAAGAAAGCGACTACGATTTATCTCAATAGTCCAATTAAATTCATTCTTCAATGGAACTTGAATGGCTATTATAGCCACATTGAAAACATTAAAATGCTAATCAATGAACTGTCACCACTAATAATATGTTTACAAGAAACTCGTCTTTCCAACAACCAAGCAAAACTAAAAAATTATATGGCCTATACAAAAAATCGAGCAGTACAGCAAATATCCAGTGGTGGAGTCGGAATTTTTGTACATTCAACTATCCAATCCAAAGAAATTCCGTTAAATACGAATCTGGAAGCAGTAGCAGTTTCGGTAATACATCATTTTAAAATCAACATATGCAACGTATATTTACCGCATCCTGACGAAACTACTCTATTAGAACTTCAAAATGTAATTAAACAAATTCCATCTCCAAAATTAATTTTGGGTGACACAAACTGTCACAACATCGCATGGGGATCCAAAAAAACAGATAAAAATGGACGAATATTATTAGAAGCAATTAATAACATAAAACTAGTTTTGCTAAACACAGGAACACCTACTAGATTCAATGCACATAATGGCACATTTTCCTCCATAGACTTATCTATCAGTGATTCAACTTTAGCTCCATTTTTACAGTGGAATACATTGGACCACCTATACGACAGTGATCATTTTCCAATAATAATTACTCATGACAAAGATGAAAAAACCTGCACAACACCATATGAAACGTGGAAATTAAAGTCAGCTGATTGGGAAAAATACTCGAACTTAGTAAGCATACGTATACCAAATCTCGTTATAACAGATAATATAGACACTACTCTATCATCTTTTAACGGTATAATTTTAGACGCAGCCAGAGATTCTATAGGAAAAACCAAAAATATTACAAAAGCTCCTCTTCCTTGGTGGAACACTGAAATCGCATCCGCTTTAAAGCAAACAAAACATGCTTTTAATATATACAAGAAGTATAACACACCTAATAACTTAAACAATTTTAGATCTTTAAGGGCCAGATCTAGATTTTTAATAAAGAAAGCAAAAAAAAGAGAGCTGGACCAATTACGTGTCGTCAATTGACTCATCTACGCCCATAAGGGATATATGGCAAAAAATAAGGAAAATAAAAGGTTCAAAAACATTTAACCATATTGACACAATAACTACAAACAACTTCAGACAAACATGAAATCTCAGAAATTTTAGTAGAACACTATCAGTTGTATTCAAGCAATCAACAGTACCACCCAAATTTCTTAGAACATAAAGAAATAACAGAAATATCAAAAATTAACATAGAAGATACTGCTAGTCCACTAAACACTTCCATAACACTTGATGAGTTAAATGAAAGTCTTAATAACCTCAAAAATACCTCACCTGGACCTGATGACATACCACCAATTTTCATCGAAAAACTACCTATTAGCGCGAAGGTTACTTTAGTAGAGATCTTCAACAAAATTTATTCGACCCATAAATTTCCATCTCTCTGGCGCGAAGCAATTATAATACCATTTTTAAAAGACAATAAACCAAAAAACTTATCTTCTTGGTATTGACCAATATCTCTTACCTGTAGCATCTGCAAAATAATGGAAAAGATTCTAAGCAAAAGATTAAAATGGTACTTAGAAAAGAAAAATCTCCTTACATCCATCCAAAGTGGATACCGATCAGAACGGTCTACAATAGATAATATTATAGCAGTAGAATCTGAAATACACGAAGCTTTTATACATAAACAAAAATTAATAGCAATTTTCTTTGACATCACAAAAGCATTTGACACCACGTGGACATATCACATCTTAAAAACAATGAAAGGTTGGAAAATAGATGGCAAATTCTTAGCCTTCACCAAGAACTTCCTGAAGAACAGAAGTATAAAAGTTAAAACAAACGGAGTCATGTCAACTAAGAAATCACTGGAAAATGGTATCCCTCAAGGATCTGTATTAAGCCCCCTGCTGTTTTTAATAGCAATCAACAACGTATCTAACCATTTTATGCTTCCAGTAAAAGCAAACTTTTACGCCGATGATCTTGTAATATATATGAGAAGTAAAAACCTAAAATCAGCTGCATCAATATTACAAAATACACTAAATAAATTAGAAGGGTGGTCGTTGGATATAGGCTTGAGATTTTCAACCGAAAAAACTAAAGTAATAATATTTGATAAAAGGAAAACACAACACCACTTAAATTTAAAACTAAACGGAAATACTCTTATAACAATCAACGAAATCAAATTTTTGGGAATGACATTCGACTCTCAACTCAAATGGACATCGCACATAAATGAACTAATTAAATCATGCCAACAGAGAATAAATCTTCTAAAAGTTCTTTCCAATCACAAATGGGGCGCAGACACAACTATTCTTCTACGATTATATCAAGCTCTAATTAGAAGCAAACTAGATTACGGATGTATATGCTACGAAACTGCTACTAAAAGTCAATTGAACAAACTGGACATCATCCAATCCACAGCATTACGTATAGTTTTCGGAGCTTTCAGAACCACGCCAATTAGCAGCCTTCAAGTCCTAGCAGCAGAACTGCCATTAGCTCTCAGAAGACAATATTTTTCGATGTGTTGTGCTACTAAATATCTCAGTGCAAATGAAAACCCGTTTATAACTAGCCTAATAAGAAGCAACCCTCCAAATCTGTACTCAAATCATTGCCCTAGAAACATACCTTTCAATGAACGAATAAATCGATTTGAATTCAATATACATCAATTGAGAGCCACTTCTACAAATAGATGCCAGTATCCTCCCTGGAAAGTCCAAATACCAAAAGTAGATTTTACCTTACTTACCTATTCCAAACAATCACACAACCCTTCTGAAATAAAACAACAATTCCAGTCTACCATCTCCAGATACCCTGATTTCAAACTAATTTTTACTGATGCCTCTAAAAGCAGTAATGGTGTAGCTGCTGCAGCTATTTTTGAAGACAACATCTCTGTCACCCGTCTAGCCAAGGAGTGTAGCATATACACTGGAGAACTGCAAGCAATCTTCAACGCACTCAACCAATGTACCAGCAATGATATAAACTTTCTTATCATATCAGATTCTTTGAGTGCCTTAAATGGTGTCAAGCAGATGTATCCTACTCATGCCAATTTAGCACTCATAAAAGACATGCTATACATTGCCCAAACACGTGGTAAAAACATAAAATTTTTATGGGTACCATCCCATG